GTTAATCCAGCAGTTATGTCTCAAAAAGGTTCTTTATCCATTACAAACGTCAGTAGGTTGAAATGTAATAGCCCCACAGTTGAACCCGTTCCTTCCCCTGCACACGGCCAGGATCCGTTCTCCATTAGGTGAAGTAGTTTAGGTGAATCGAACAAGTTCACTTCGACATGAAAAATTGAAAAGAGCCATTATCCGATGAGTTCTCAATGGTGATCAGTGGATCATTTCGATTTGCCCGTTCGTACGCTAAAATAGCCGCTTCTTGTTTTTACTTTGAAACGCTTGGTCTAAGGAATACTGACTTTGCACTCTTGGCAATCCTTATATCGCTTGTAATTAACCTGTTTATTTTTTTGCTTCTTTGTTTGGCGCTTTGGGTGTAATATTGATCAAAATAAACAAACAAATAAATACACGGCGCCACCCAAGACAGTCAGTGCCATTACTTAAACCCTTATAGCTCGATGTGAACCAAGTCTATACTTACACCCAGATGAATGTTCCTCTTTCTGGTTTTTACTAATTTTTCTATAATTTGCTTTTCAATCTTGATCCGCTTCTCTTTTTATTACGAAACATAAAGGATATATGAGTGGTTCCGGCCCATAGGCCATATTATAAAAACTTCGACAACGGAACTCACTATATTATTACAATATTTTCAGACCTTTTCAAGAGTTAGCGAAAATTTTTATAGAATTTTCAAATAAGAAGTATATTATGAAAAAAATCGTGCCAATTTAGCGACTGGAATGCACGTTCATCCGACGACTAAGATTTCTACTGAATAGTCTGCCAGTAGTTCCGATAAAATAGCCTTAAAATCATATATCTTAAAGTATTGTTTGATTTTCTTATTTTGTTAATATATGCAATCAGTTTTTTTGTGCTCAAGTGACACTCTATGCGAATTTTGGATTAACACTCAAAATAATGAAGATGACTATCGTAATAATATGGTCCTGTATCGATTACTCTAATGAAGTGTGCGCATAGCAATCGCGCAGTGAAAGTCTTCTCTTCCGTAAAGTCTACAAGAAACGAAGGACCAGTAAATGGATTACCTCTCACGGGAACTCTCAATTCCATCTCGTTGACGTCATGTTTGGGAAATGTTCTTCAGCTGTTCAACGAATCGAAATCTCGCCCCAGTTATTTAACCTATTCGATTCTGGGGTTGAATTCCAATGACCAAAGTTCAACCCACACAACGGGGGATATATTCCCTTGAAAAGTAGGGTTAAGCTCATCATTAGCTTTTCCAGATACTCAGATCAAGTAAAGAAAATCCGGAAACCTATCAACCAAAGGGGTAAGCGATGACCCAGCTAATTAGAAGAGAACTACGAGTGCATGGCGCAACAGACGGCCCATGCTTTTCACTTTTTCCTAACAACTGATAGTTCTTTTCCCAACCGCATTTGTTTCTTTTCTCTTTCTACTCGCCGACAAACGTGATACGCCTCGTTCATGGAGTTTTTATTGGAAATCGTTCTCGATCGAGTCATAAACTGTCGATCGCGGTCACATTAACTGTCTATCAGTCCAATACTAAGACGTATGGAGTGTTGCTGCTGGTGGGATCTCTTCAAAGCCCACAAAACTCGTTCCCACTTTAGAACTTTCTAGATGCAACGCATCGCTTTGCTATTACTAATGAACAGTTTCAATGGGCACTTTATAGAGAAAAAACCTTCACGTTCGTCGTTCCCAAATGGGTGACCAAACACGTCCGGGAAAGGGAGTTCGGATCTATTGAAAAAGAGGCTAATTTGCCGAGTTTGTCGAATGATTCCGAAAGTGGCGTGATCAGAAGTACCTCAGAACCTTCACATGAAAGCAGGACATGTTCTGGGTCGAGACCATTTTTGGCATTTCGCTACATGTCATGATCTAAAGGGTTTTATATTTGTGTTTATTATTTATTTATTTTTGTTTGTACTTCGATGACTAGACCAGTCATCATCGAAATTGAACCTAAACGACGATTCATTTCACCTTTGCCCTTTCTCTTGCAGTGGGAATTTCCACGAGGCCTCGGCCCGTCAGATTCGACTTTCGGGCCTTACTTGTTAGCTCAAACCACCTCTCCTCCATGATACGTGGAATAAACAAGGCTCAAATCATAAATGGACCAAATGACACATACTGTTCAATGCCATCCCACCGAAATGGTCTAGGTGGGAGTGGAATGTTTTACTAATACCTCCTTCACGGTTACCCACCCTTTTATTTAAGTTTTTAGCCGATTATCGCTAATTAACCGCAACCTCCGCCATTAATCTTACAGCGTTTTCTCTCACTCCATGATGCGCCGTTTTCGCTTTCCTCTTAATGGTCCGGTCTGAACACGCACAACATCACAAGCACACGCCGCTCTTCCTAATAAGGGCACCAGTGTTTGTTTGCGTGGACTCCAGTTGTGGGTCATGTCGTCACGAACTTCACAATCGATAAATCAATAACTCGATTAGGTTGACAAGTCATGAATTATAGAAGAAATTGGAGTAAACCTTTCAGTGACGAATCGCCTTCTCAGCTTGGCGCTAAGATTTCGGCAAGGGCGAGGAAGACGTCTGCTTGCTTCTACGAGGGGTGGAGGGGTCTTCAGGTTTACCTACCCTTAAAACTTATTGATGGATCACCCAATAGGAATCCTATGAGGTAAAATTAGGCCAACTTATCGATCGGGGGTGAAATGTCCAAAAGTAGATTCCAAGGAAGTTCAGAAGAAATCTCTACTACCATGAACCGAGTTCCAAGTGCCGTACCCTTTCAAACGATTTCGGAACTTCAATGAAAGACGAATAAATGGCAGACTCTTTTTTTGATTTTACTTTATTTACTATTACTATTACATACTATGTCCTTATCCTGCAGCCTTATTAGAATTTCGTTCCATGTTTACTTTCAAATGAAATAACCCCTCCCATGACCGGAAAGGCCACCTATAGAGGCGCTGGGTCCTCGATGCCCATCTGGCACCCATCGACTGACAAATGATATATATCATATCATTTTCGGCCGAGTATGACTCGCAGCCGCCCGAATTCCATTAGAAATCGCGGATTCACTGCGGTTCGTGAGAGAATTCCCGTCAAATTCCACCGAAATCAATCTCGACGGGGATGACTGGGATCACAACGAGTGAGAAGCGGACCTTCATCAGAAAGACTGGTTTTGCCTGATCACAATAGCGAAAGCAATTTGAAAGGAACGGCTATGAGAAATATGCTTTTAAAATTGGGTGGAATAGGAAAATTAGGTAAAATAGTATAGCAATCCAGCGCTGACTAGATCATCTGCAGTGCGCCATGCACTCGACTTCGACACAGTTTTCGAATGACTTTTGCAAGCATGCTCGGCTTTACACGAACTTAAAGAGTCATTGAGCCACTTTATGTACCGCTCATCTGCTTTCAGAATCTGTTGCTGAGCAACTGATTCCAGATTGTTTGAAGACCTGAACGTAGAGGGACTCAACTGAAAATACGATCCCCTAGTTTATCATTACCTCACGTCATCATGTTTATTATCACGTCATTTACTACTATCCACCCATTACCCGGCATGGATTTAAATAGAATTTGTTCCCATCAGAGAATCCACAGTCCATTTCTCAAAACAGACCATAAAGAAAAATGGTTACTAAATCAATCTATGGATATAGACAATCATTATAGACGAAGCTGAGGTGAAGACCAGGATAGGGCACCCTCATGTGGTGAATAAAAACGGATGCAGATAGTGAATCCATGTATACCTTCAGCCCTAACAAACCCACTTAGTTGTCACCTGGCGCGAACTGGATGCGATCACCTGGCCATATGCATGGTAGCGCACCTCTTTTCATTACTCCACCTACTCATTGCCTTTCGTATCATAACCCTATATGATTTTTTTGCTATATTGCGCTACAATTTTTATAATTTCTGTGCTACTGTGTCCTTCGCCACTTATTGCCCATATCAAGTATAAAACTTGAAGCTGGGCGCAACTTAAAGCTGATAGAGATTGCTTGATACTCTTCTATACTTCTTCCAAAAACGCTCAAACCGTGATACCCCGCCTTCTGATGTGAATTTCTGCCCTGTTGCTAAGATTCCGGTAGTTTTTTCCTTCATTTTTCCATCTTCGATCTCAAACTTTCCAAAAATGCAGTCTTACTTTGTCGTTCATATTCCAAATATCTATAACAATTGAAACAGTGCAGATTCTCCGAAAAATCCCTTTCTTATGTTACTTCCGCCTTGAAATTTGACATCGTACCAGTTTCCTTAGTTTTTTTTGTGAATAGGAAATAGGAAAATTTCAATTTTCTTTTGCATTCCGAAAAGGCCAAGCGGTTATCACAGTACGTAGATGTGTCAGAGCACTTCAATAGGGGAGTTAAAGTGGTCAATTGATTTCTGACCGACGGTAACTGCTTTCAAAGTGCTGGGGATGCCGACGCCACTGAAAAAATCAGGTTAAGCGCTAGTCAACCTTTTCCAGCTCTTCTCAGAAGGAACCCGCATTCGTTTAATTTTGCGATAATTAGCAGCATTTTTCCGAAAAGATCTGAAAGAAGAAAGAAGAAATCCCAAGTTGAGGAAGTATGAATCACCATCGGTTCTTAGGGGAAGCGCGAAAATGAAGCAAGTTCTCGTAAGAAACTGAGTGGTGAGCCATAAAACCATGGAAAAACTAAAAAGCAATAATGGACGGTATCTTTACGATGAAAGCAAAACGTAAGCCCGATGCGGGGCTCGAACCCGCGACAGCCAGATTAAGAGTCTGGTGCTCTACCGACTGAGCTAACCGGGCACGTGCAATTACCTGCACTTTGGCGTTCAAATATTTCCTCCATGACTTCAATCTGAACTGAGAATGTTGGGAAAACCAATAGAGGAGTAGAATCGCAGACTGACAACCGCCGACCTCTTGGCATGCGCCATGTATTTGTTTTCCACCCCAAATCGTTAAAATATTTCAATTCAACCTAAACGCGACGAGGGCCAACCAGGATCCAGCTGAGTTTCAAGCAAAATAACAAAAATTTCGGATGAAAACATGATATTTACGATTTTTCAGATCCACTCATCAGGTTATGTGTCATTCAGTCCAAATGAATTGCAACCATCAGCTCTACCAGTTAGTGAACCGGTTTTGGCCACTTATTGGATGCCAACTGAAGGAGCTACCGTATACTACAGGGAAACCGACGGTAAGAAAACTATCAGAAAAATAATTCGGAATGAAAAAGGGGCAGAGTTTCAAGAAGTAGAATGGTACACTTGAAAGGGTGAACTTGGAGAGAGGGAAGAATCTCATGAAGTTCCGTTTATTACTAGATCGAAGATCTGTTCGTCGTAGGAGGTAAACAAAGTAAACAACCAATACCTGAGCGCCACCGGCGACGAGCGGTATCCTGCAAATGCAGGAAGCAAAGATATTCCGGTCAACAAGGGAATTTTTCTCAGCATCCATGATTGATAGGTGTAAATGAAAAAATAGTGAACTGGAGCAGTGATAAATGGCGCCGCTACCACACAAGTGGAGAACGGATATAATTTTGGATCGAATTTCAGTGAAGTGCTGAATCGAATCTCATCAGCGAGTCTCTCACAACTCTTAGAAGTTAGCTACCGGACTCGTCCAAAAGAAAGAAAAATTGACGACCCCACATCCTGATCCCTGGGGATTGTTACACAGACCCATGTTACACATGCAAATCCTCTGCAATGCTAAGTGGAGGCCGGAAGCACGGTGGAACTCAGAAAGGACAATATTATGTAATAGCGTCGAGCAGCTTATTCCTTTGACCCGAGTCCCCACCGATTGAATGCCACCAAGACAATCAAGAGCGAGTTCCAGACGGGCAACCATAGATTAGGGGGCCTTGTGCCAAAATGGGCTATTTGCCTCGACAGTATTCTTCTGATTCCAAAGAATTTTTCAACCATGAGACCAATTTTAATCTTAAGGATCTAATGTTCGCCTCTCTGAGAATCCAGTACTTTCAGATCTCAGCATAGTAAATTTGGCACACAACGAGGTGAACATTCAGTACCGTTATGGCTCAAAATTCCGGGTGAAAAGCGTCCTAATCATCACTTGGGAAGGAGGACGTCCAGAGAATTCGGTAAGACCATTCATCAAAGGACCTTCTCATCCCATTCCATTGTACACATTTCTTTGATGTTCTTGTTAGGGCAGGAGACGAATGCCTTTGCTTTATTCCAGGATTCTGAAGGAAATCTCTTCCAACTGGCGTTGATCATCGGTGACTCGATGACCTTTGCGCATTTCGTCTACAGCAAGCTCAATTCCAACGATAACGCTGTGGTAATTTGTCGAACTTTTTACAAATCATTCACACCTGACTTCAACTCTCCGCCCATTCCACCATAGGAAAAAGTATATATTGGAAAAACTGTCATTTAACTCGAAAAAATAGCCGTTAGAGCATGTGGATTGAAGTTATGTATATAACCTACACAACGTCTCCATTTTCAATGACGTTCGATGGACACCAGTGGCCCCTATCTTAAGGATGAGATATGGGCACAGAGCAATGCAAAGCAACACCGCCTCTTGGACGAGTTGTCATGGATTGACCCATTGAGCAGATGCACTATTCGTAGGCGGGATTAATCCCGATAACTGGCCTCTGAAAAGTTTTGAATGGGATCTTTTCTCACAACAGGGAGAGCATACCAAGAAAGAGGAGCTTTCGGCTCTATCCCGTGACCCGGCTAAGGACCCAAATATTTTAATTGAACCTTACTTGTTTATTTACTTCATTATTTATTCCACTTTATTTTTATTATCACTATTGCGCCACATAAGAATGCTATTTATTTTGTCAAAGTTCTCATTCAATCTATAGAGGGTCTACAAGTTAGAAGCCGCATTCAGGCCGGATTTTCTTCAATGAACTCCTCGTATTCACTACCGGACTCAGCCACTCATGACGCAATGCTTTTATCAGAAAAAAGCGATATCGGAATACCCGGAGAGTGGCTATTTAGAATTGATGGAGTCCAGGTAAGCATTAGACAACGAAATCGGAATTTATGTTTCTTCCTATGACATCCCCTCAAACTCAGCTACTGAGCAGGGTGCCCTCCACTCAGATTATCTCGAAAATTACGAAATCACTTTCAGGTCCACCTCTGCGGAGCTGGTTTCAAAGGGCTTGAATGTATCGATAGTTGTGCTGCGTCGCAATGGTTCAATGACTGCTCTAGAAGGCAAGTAATGCCCTCACCTCCTACATTATTCTTTTTCGAAATAGCATTAATGCCAAGAATTGCTTAATTTTATGATTTTGAGGGTTTGTGAATACTAACATCGCTAGAAGCGAAACAGGCATTACCCAGAGAGAGAGGTACCCTAACTTGGATGACATCACTACATGGTCCAACGGCTGGGGAATTAAGAACTAGGGCCATCCGATTACTTTAAGAAATTGGGCCCGCTTCTCGTCTTTGCAGGGCAGGGTATGAGAAGGGGCATGGTTAGTCGCGCTTCTCGATATCTTAATAACAATGAGGGGAAATTGATTTGCCATTCCCGCCCCTACATTTGAGGTACGCCTATCTTTCATTGGAAATCAGAACCCTAGAAGAGTCAGATTCCAACGTATTCAACCTTGCATACATTATAAAATGAACGTTTTGCTCATAGTGAGAAAAATTCTTCCCTCATGCTATTTCGATAAGTAAACAGTGATCTAAACAACACCCGATTTAGTTGCCACTGCGATGGAGGTGATCCATGTGATCAAGAAACGGGCCGATGTCCAAATGGTCGATGTTCCCCGGGATGGAAAGGCGCTCCCATCTGCGACGAAGGTACTTTATTTCATTTTTTAATTAAAATTTCGATGTAGTAAACAATTTTATTCGTTTCATTAACATACTCACCTCAAGTCATTTCTCGTTTCATCCTATCTCTGGCTGAGATGAGGGTGGTGATGAGAGCTCCAACCTAACCAGCCCCCTAAAATCTGGTCTCAGGTCTCGAAGCAAGCATGCCATTCCTCTTGTACCCCAGCCCGTAAGAAGACAAAACCAATGCATTGAGAAGTCACTAGAGAGTGAACAAGGTTCCGAGCACTTAGCCAGTTCTAGATCAGAATATCGGCATGACACTCCTTAGAAGGACCTCGAATATCTGCCATAGTCAACTTTATCAATTATTAGTGCCCCTAGACCCATCTCTTTATCAAAAACAACTACAACCAGTCCATCTGCCCTGAATTCGCATTTTTTCCTTAGTTACTCGCGCTTGAAAGTAAATGGTAAGATCCGGGACAACGGTAGAGGTCCTCCTCCGAAATATACGGATCACCCACTGATGTTAGTGCATTGAATAGTGAAATCGTAGGGATGGCTCCGGTGATAGGATCATGAAAATAAAGAATATTCCGAATATATTTGTATCTGGATGATAATCCATAATTTAGATGAAGATGAATGCGAAAAAGGCGACATTTGCCCTTCAGCTCAGCCTGACTGTATGAACACTCCTGGATCTTACTTATGTATCTGTTTCGAGTATGATGAACAGAATAAACGATGCAAAGGTGAGGCTACGGGTACTGTACGCCAAGATTCATAAGAATTCGATCAACTAAACCTTCTTCGCAACAGTCATATCTATGACTTACCAGCTTCCACTACCTAGTGTAACGATTACAGTTCGACTCGTTAAAGAAAACTCACTTTTCATCCTTCCTTTCTTTCCTCCAGGTTCCAAACCACCAGGATCGTCTGAAGAGAAAATTCCGGTTGAGGTGGTGCCACTACAGCCGTCGTTCGCTCGAGCTACACCATCCACTAAAGCCTCCGTGGTACGGAATCGATTCCAGTCCACCACTCCATACACCGTACCATCGACTACAACCACACAGTTGATTACGGTAAGGCGTCTCGGAAATTAAAGACTATTTTAATGGCAAATATACCAGAACCCATTTTCAGACGCGAACCACTACCGCCAGCACTACGACCACTACAGAGACTCCACCTCTCATCGCGAAAGTTACCGAATTCAAACCAGTTAAAATAAAACCGGTAAGTAAAACCGGTAACCATCAATCTCTGTCATGCTGTGCCTTGAAAGTCAATTTAAAAATCAAGTTTTAAATTGCATCGTTCTACAAATTAATTAAACTTCTACTCGCCCAGAAGAGTAGGGTATCAGACATTGAAGCGCTCATTGATAAGCACAAAGTCGAAAAAAAAATTTCAAAAATTGACGTAATGGACCACATAAATCGTAGTATGGGTATGCGATCATAGTCAGCAAAATAGAAAAGTATAAACAGGCATAAAATCAAATCCACTGACTGACATACTTAATGTATACATAAATTAATATTCTTAAATATTTAGGCGGGCCAGAACTGTCCCCCATGCGACATCCACGCTACTTGCCGTGATGGACAGTGTGTATGTCAGCCTGGCTGGAAATCCTATCAAAATATGTGGGTTTGGACAGCTTTTTACTAACTTGTTTACTCGCTTATTTTTCTCGAATACATACGGTTATTCAACTTTTAACTGCAATTATTCCCAAAATTCTACTATGAAAGCTATATTTTCTCTATCTCCACATTCTTCATCCTTTTCTTTTTTTTTTGTTTGCTTTTCTTTCCCTCTTCTAGGTTCATTTCAACCTTTGGAATTTGCAAATTAGGTTCGACTGAGTTTTGGTAAAGGACCGAAGTGTTCCAGTCCCCGAATGCAGCTCCAAATTAATGTACATAACGTAGTGAATTCTTTTATAACAATCGATCGCTTGCGAAATATCCACTAGAAACCACTTGCACGGCTTATCCGAAGAAGGGTAGTAATCCCAAAAATGTCATACAACGTTTGCGACTGACTAAAAATCATTATGTATACCAAAAATTAGACGAATCAGATTACAATTCAAGATGTGTCGACGTCAATGAATGTGCAGAAGGCGCTGTCTGTGGGTCCCACTCAGAATGCGTTAATCGGCCGGGAAGCTACGACTGTGTTTGCGAAAAAGGATACCGTTTCGAGAATGACGAATGTGTTGGTGAGTAAACGCCCTAATACTCCTCTATGATTCTCAGTTTTGCATGACGGAAGAATGTTGATATTCGCATTTTTAATTCCACAATTGAGGAAAGTTTGTTAGCCTTAATTAGAGCCTTAGGAAAGGAGAATCATACCCATTCTCTGGTTTGTGACAGCGAGAATTAGTTGCTCAAAGTGCTGAACCTTACCCATTACAATCTCGATAAGTTTCCCCTTTCCCCTATCTGATATTTCCAGATATCAACGAATGCCGCGAGACATCTCCTTGCGGAGATAACCTCGGCGTGGAGTGCGTGAATCGTCCCGGCTCTTACGAGTGTCGTTGTATGGATGGTTTTGATGGAGATCCGCGAAGAGGATGTTCTGGTCAGTCTTCAGCTTGAATTGTGGGACTTTTCACAAAGAAGTAGGTGACCATACCATTGTATAAGTTCGTTCAAAGTGGAGCTTGCGCTGTAGAGATATGTAGGTCTTGCTGATAAGTGGGTGGACGTGTGCTAAGCCGATAGATTCAGAACAACGAAAGGGACCCGTCTTCTGATTGCTCGCATGTGTAACTACATAGTAATACGGACAAAAGCGTCCTAAAGGCGGTGTGAGAGAAGGGCAGACTGCACAACGGCAGGTGAATCAGCAAATCGCTGAGTGGACCAGAGACTCACTATTTACCAAGCCTGCAAGTCCTTCTATTGGTTAAGCCAGCGGTTGCTTTTGAAGGAGAAGGGTCCCAACAGAATTTTATCCCTTCCAAAATGCGCCGCCCATCGCGAAACCAATTTCAGAATTCATTGTTACACAAACATTGTCGAAAATAAAATAAAATAGATAATTGTAGATGTCAACGAATGCGCTATGGGCACTCAGCACTGTGGTCCACATGCCAAATGCATCAACACGGTAATTTACTTTGAAAACATATATAGAATAGGGTTATAGAATAGTATATAGTTTTGAATATATAGGGAATAATCTTCGTTTTAAAAGGATAACTAATAAAATAATAATAAAATAATAATAAATAATAATAAATAATAAAATAATTTGAAGAAAAAATAGACAAAAAATAACTTAAGTCTGAAAAATATTACTGTAAAGAGACGATCAACGCCTAGACCTCCTTTGTTCAACAAGATTTCAAATCTCCCATCGACTTTTTGCCACAGAAAAATCCATTTTCTCACTATCACATCGCCAATCAAAGTTTTTGATCCTTCCTGATTGAATCCTTCCCATAACAACAAACGCAGATGTGGGGAATGAGCTCTCCAATGATAAGATCAAATTAGCTCCTCAATAGAAATGTTTCCAGCAAAAGCAAAGTAGCGTAGATGGTTTTGCTGCTGCGGGTACTAATCCTACAGAGCCGAAGGTTTTGTAATGTCAATTTCAGATCGGCGCTTACGAATGTGAATGTCTGCCCGGATTCGAGCGAATAACTGAAGGAGCTGGTTGCACGGATATTGACGAGTGCTTCTTGTCAGTATGTCATCCAGCCGCTTCNTGTAAAGAGACGATCAACGCCTAGACCTCCTTTGTTCAACAAGATTTCAAATCTCCCATCGACTTTTTGCCACAGAAAAATCCATTTTCTCCTTATCACATCGCCAATCAAAGTTTTTGATCCTTCCTGATTGAATCCTTCCCATAACAACAAACGCAGATGTGGGTAATGAGCTCTCCAATGATAAGATCAAATTGGCTCCTCAATAGAAATGTTTCCAGCAAAAGCAAAGTAGCGTAGATGGTTCTGCAGCTGCGGGTACCAGTCCTATAGAGCCGAGGGTTTTGTCATGTCAATTTCAGATCGGCGCTTACGAATGTGAATGTCTGCCCGGATTCGAGCGAATAACTGAAGGAGCCGGTTGTACTGACATTGACGAGTGCTTCTTGTCAGTATGTCATCCAGCCGCTTCGTGTGCAAATCTCGTTGGATCGTTCTCATGCAGTTGTCCAGATGGATTCGTTGGCGATGGAATGCAATGCCATGGTAAGTACATTTTCCCCATGGCTCTTCCAAAAAAAGTCCCAGGGCTTTCATCAGGAGGGATATGACCAGACCGAACAAATCCAATCATCAGAGGACGGGACGCCTACTTGGCTCACCATATCATTTCACCCAAACTCATCCTAGAGATATCAATTAATACAAAGTTTTATCTCCGCGATCATACGAAGGTAGCGATGGTCGCCACGAGGGATTCCTAGCAATTTCTGCATATTCTAGCTCTTTGCCATGATAGCGATCTAAATGGGATGGCAGATCAATTCAGCAATTTACCGACCCCAACTGCTACCTTCTTACGCGGATCCGGAACTTTTCTTTCAGAGACAATCCTCTACCCAATCGCAAACGATTCCATCGTGATACCTCGAAAAGCAGACGCCCTGGCCACCATCAATCTACCATCGCCTGTCTTTGTATTTGGAAAACCGTACAGCAAAGTCTATGTGAGTTTTGAGAAAAATCTGATTCACAGAGGAGCCTGATTTGAAGGGTCAATGATTATGTTGTACACGGGTCCCCAAAACTCCGAATTCAACAGAATTGCGTTCTCCAATACCGAAAAGTAACTTGTTCGGAAAACTCGCCCAATCGCCATAGATTTGGATACCTTAAACACCACTTAGATCTGTTTGCCAGAAAAAGGGAAGAACAAAGAAGTAACGTCGATTTCTGAACTTTACGCTTTCAGCTGTCATCGAACGGCGTGCTGTCATTCGATCGACCGTTACCAGGACTCATCGAACGAGCTGAATCACTACATGAGGCAGCCGTATTCGCTCTTCACGTACAGTACGACTACGCTAGAGAAGGCCTTGTTGCGTACACTTACATTAATGGTAAGCTTGAGGAAATGTTCTCGAGCAGTGGGCTTGCTATACACATAATAAATGACGGAGTGTAAATGTTGACTGATCAGTTCGAACACTTTTTACCAAATCGTAAGCTAAACTCCTATAGAATCAGCCTCAGGATAGCAAATCTAAAGAGAACGGTAATCGAGGTTAACGTTGAGTCACGTACCATTCCGAGGGTGCTTCAGCTTTCCCTCATTTATTCCTTGTTTATCAACAGCTAGGTAGCATTTCATACGGCTGATCGACCCTGTGAACAATTGAGGGACCCAATACCAAAATTGGAATCCGAAGACGCTCCGTTGCAGCTCCCACTGAAGAGCTGTTTCACACTCCTGTTACTAGTCTCGTAACAATTTTTGTCACAACTTTTTAAACACCGCTTTCTATTATCTATCTACTACCACTTACCGCTTACTACTCTCCCCAAACATCAGGACGGTGGTCAGAAATAACATATCCTCCTGCACTGCAGGATAACATGCTTCTCGGGGAATAATTTTATATGCTTTCAGTAAAAAGCTGTACAAAAACTAAATTTTTATAGAATAATAATGGGTATTACAAAAAACAAATATTATATGAAAAATATTAAATGCACTTACAGTAGTCGGCAATATAAGATGTTAATGGGCCATTTTCAGAGTCGGACATGTCCGCTTACTCCTTACTGAGTCGATCATCTATTGGAGTTCAGAATAACTTCCGTCTAACGAATTTCCGAACGAAGACACTTCATCTCTTCACGTTTGACCGGATGCGTCAAGCCGGCAGTGAAAATGTAAGACCGACCGGAACTCTAGAAAAATCTCTCTAACGGGCTAAGCGGATTCTCGATAGTGTAAGGGATGAAGGGCGTATTGCCCGAAAAGCACAAGAGTTCGAGTCTCACCTCAAACCAAGCATTTTGTCGATTAATGGCTACTTGGAAATGTCAACATATTTCCAGCTGAACTCATTCCAAATCGTCCTAGCGCAATCCGATGAAGCAACGATGCTCACATTGATCTATGAAAAGACTCAATCAAAGGGGCCAATGACAGGTACGTCAGTTTGAATTCGAAATCATCGAAATCAGTCCCATACAGTGATTTCAAGGTATCGCTTCACCAAAATCACCGTTCTTCCTCCTTCCAAACGACCTGCTGTCAACCAATTCGAATGTTGGACAACCTGGAAAATGGATGTACCGGATCGACGACGGTATTACGACATGTCCAGCAGGTGCAGAACATCCTCCCATGTGTGACAAAGGTATTCATCAGTGATCCTATCCAGTCTTACTCGTAGATATAACGAAGATATAAATGACCAAATTCAGATTGTCCTCCCGGACGGTACGGCTTCTCTTGCCAAAGTTCATGCCACTGTGCCTTAGGTTTCCCTTGTGACCCTGCAACAGGAGTTTGCGCTAATGGATGCGCTCCAGGATGGACAGGATTGAACTGCGATCAAGGTAAGCCACACAAGACTTTTCAGACATTAACTATGCACCGAGACGACAATGTTTACAAGCCTCCCTTCACTCAGACCTCTTTGACGTATTCCAAAGAACCGAGCTAGCAGCACCATGAAATTCTACTCTGGTAGAACCGCCACATAAACTGCAGTAGGCCCAGATTATCAAATCGCTTTTCCTAACAGCCAACATATCTCATTAACACGACACACGATGAGAACGGCTCCAACCCGAATGTCTTAGGTAAGGGTCAGGACGCACCACTGGGGTCACATCTTCGAAATTGAGTTGCCGCGCGCGCGGCGGCCGCTGTCGGTAATGTCAGTGCCCTTCGCCATAAATTTGTGGAGGATTAAGGGTACTGACATGAGAAGCGGAGATAGCCACGTGTGTAGAGACCAGGTTCAACAATGTGACTACAGGACGCGTTTTGACTCTCGCCCAAGTAAGGCCGATCTTCGCAGATCATCTTTATCGAAAGCGGTCATTCAATCATCTCTAGGGAATTTGAGCACATGTCGAGTGCAATGCGCGTAGTGAAGCCTAAACCAATTCCGTTTAGATGTGGATGAGTGTGCGACAGGTATGATTCAATGTGCCCCGAATGCAGAATGTGTCAATAGTGTTGGTGGATACCAATGTACTTGCCGAAAGGGATACTCCGGTGACGGAAAGCAATGTACCCGTGAGTACCTTCACTATGGAAGTAATGCACTGATTGGCTGAATTCTTCCTTGCTTTCAGTAGTAGAACGGTGCTACGCACGATACGGACGATCTTGTTCAACCAGTGGGTCCTGCGAAGAATTCCCAGACGGTCCACGATGTGTCTGTGCACGAGGTTATCGAGGCGATGGATTCTTATGTACTGCACAGACGCCAATTCATTCCTCTGTGGAGGACATAACGTCCCTTATGAAGAACGAGCAAACTCACGGTTAGTTTGCCAATAATCGGGTCTCGCTCTCCCAATAGACGACAACGTTCAGATAACACTGATATTGATGTGGGCGATCATCCATTTGTGATGAAAGATTGGCAAACCAGCGCAAGAACAAGCCCTCGACCAATGACAACCACCCGAGGACGCCCTGGATTGCAGCCTTGTGAGGAAGGATTTAGTTAGACTTCCAGGGAACTAAGCAATTACTCTTATTTTCAGCATCGACGACTAAATCACTAGAAAAGACGACTTCCCATGGGGCGCAGGAGGACATGGCGGAGGCGACAACGCGTACGTTTGCAGAATAGTCTTGATTGTGGCACTTGAACAATCGGTTATTTCAGTGCTCTTCCTAATCGGTCCTGCTGTACTCTGTGCCATCTGGGTGATCCTCGTCATCGTTGTCATAGCGGTTTGCTGCAGAAATAAGCACAGGTACGACTGCTGATTTGACAGGAGTAAAACTGAAGTTTGATAATTCCAAAGGCGGTGATTAGGGCAATAACGAATTCACAATGAAACTGCTGCCAACTCGAAAGAGTGGTGCGTAGACAACAACAGTGGGTCGAGTGGGGACATATTGGTGGGCCAAAGTAGGCCAAAATAATTGACTGAATTCCCTTTCGATTCCATTTCCTACTTATAAACACCCGCTGGGAAAAAGGGAAAACTGTTACTCTTGGTCATTTACAACTTCCATCATCCTGGAAGTGCATGCCGAGATATTCTACTGAACACTTCTATTTACAGCCAAAGGACTCGAAGCGGTAAACAAGGAGTCTGGAATCCTCCAACTTGCCGTACTGTCACCGTCCCATCAAATGCTGCTCAACAGTATCCATCACGAATACGACCATTTGAATCTTATTAATGCCATAGTACAACTATCTTCTGCTCCAGATGGAGCCGTCCCTTCGTCAGGATGTTCTCATCTATGACCTGTACAGTAATCAACCAATGTTTAAAACTACTTCCCGCATGCCCACAGTAGAGAAACGAAATAATCAAGGCCGAGATGGAAAGCAGACACTTTCCAATGTGCCCTAACCCTTTTCCCAGTTTGCAGGTATCTTAAATGAATGTACCCCTGTCAAGGATATGACATTCCACAGTTACACACAGGCATTATTGTTATGGCAATTGTAAATCTCACTTTAAATTATTTGTGATATCTTCACTAGCAATGATTTGCTCATAATTCTTCGATCATATAACGTTTAGAAAACAATTGTAATTATATAGCAGTAGTTTGAGTCATGTCCGTGAAATGTAGCAATTGAGCGCGCGGTCGCGAAGCGGCAGGATCTATCACGCGAAAGGAGTATGGGCGCTTTAAAAACACGCTTTCATCTGCTACATATCGTGGGCGTGATACAATCACCATATATGAGCTTTCTTCAGTATTACTCTTATCGCTAGGTGCTAATATTGCCTTTATCAGAGTTCTTTCATTCTGAATAACAGAGTTGATTATGCGAATAGACACAGTTGAATGATGTTCAGTCAATGCGTGCATTATGAATTGCTCATTTCTAATAATGTTTATAAATTTAATTTGTTCTGAATAAAGGAGAATACAAAGCACAGAAGTTCCTAACGCCTGGCAGACTTTCTAAATCTCCCACTCAAATTGACGGAAATAAAAAGGGAGAAAACGGCCAAAAATAGCAAATTATGAAAAAGTAACCCAAAAGGCCAAAACAGAAAGGTGTCCATATGTATAGAAATAAGGAGACTTAGTACCAAGCTGTTTTCATACTTCGCACTCTTTCAGTTCAAAATGCATATTGATCACATGCACGTCAAATCCAAAGCCTATGAGACCAATCAAATGATTGATACGTATGACAATGACGAAAAATTCGTACTCTATTGCAACATCTACTTATATCAATCAACATGAAAATTTAGGAAAAACAGTTTCAAACATTATAAATATTTATAGTAAAGGAGATGCAGCTGATTAACATTACACACCTATACAATTTTTAAAACTAATAGCGGTTTTGTTATTTGTTATCAGATTCATTTTTATGGAAATTGTTTTTTTTTGCGTTGGCTCCTTTCAATGTAACCTAAGATAGCGTTCAATGATTAAATGAAAGGAGTACAATTGTTCAACATCCCAATACGACTTGCATTAACATCTGATAATGATTTTAGTTCGAAAGCGGGTATATTTACAAAAACTACTCTTCCTTTTCTGTTGAAGTGAAATTCTACAGCGGATTGAAGATATTAACTCTCAACATCAACAATCGATAAGTTTTCCCTCAATACCCAAAATCTCATTGGACTATAAATCGGGATTCACGACTTTTTTTCATAAATAGGAAACCAGGGCAAAGAAAAATAAGAGTTCTAGGAATAGCCAAGAAGAAAAGTGATGAAAAATGTCAGGTCTGAAAGGAAAAAAAAACTAACCTAGACATGATGTTTCAGTTGTATGAGAACTTGGAGTGACAGCGGTGGCGGTATGCAGCTGTGACAAACGCGAACGATATTGCCAACCTAAAAAAGATGCTTTGTCTTCCTTTCATGCCCTTGTTTTCTATGACTGGTACTATATGTAATTATATGATAGAGGACAATCACAACATCTACTTCAAAAACAACTTTCTTCACTTAATCTCTTTCTTTTGTACACGCAGGTGTAAAAAAAAAGAAAGTTAATGACAATGAGAAAACTTCAAAATTCAATTTCAACGCTTAATCAGCGTTTATTTCAAACTTCGCGCTCGTAATATGCTTTGGACTGTGAAAAAATGATGGAATAAACAAATAAAAGAAGAAGTATAAAAGAGAAGGGGAAACTGATACTACCAACAAGTTGCTCTGAAGCCATCTCCATGAATCTCAAGCAGCGACGTTGTTCTTTGAGTTGTGGTTGTGGAATGCTTCCGAGCACATGCCGAGTCATCGTGAAGAACTTTTTAAATTGTGCCATCACGCTGAAATATGCTGACAATATCCATCAAGCCACAAGCATTCATAGCATACGTTGCATTGAAAAAAAGCATCTTGCTAGAACGATTACACAGGCATTATCCACATGACGTATATGATCGTTCGATAAGATCATCACCAACCCATTTCTGAATGCTCACGTACATCGCCTTCCGAGCTATTGCTATAGAAATGCAGAGCATCGAACTTAAAATACAAACAGGCGAAAACTTTGTAAATTCGAGGCTATTTTTTTATAAATTTCAGGCTTTATGAAAAAAGGAAAGAAATAACATTTGCAACAAAAGATCGCGGGCACACAGCTGGTGCCTCTCTGTTGTACTTATGACCAAAATGAATAACGTTCATGCGCTACTGCAGTAGTAAATTCTGACACAATCAGCTGCAGTAAAAAGTAACAAGAACGATTACCTAAGATGAATAATCATTTAGTATGTTCCCACTAAAAATGTTCAAAGGATGTTGAATTACGAGAATGTTCATAGTCTAGTCTACGCTGCATCAAAAAACAGAATCAACTGTTTTTATTTCGCTATGAAGGTTACCAATCAGTTTAGAAATGGAAGAGGAAGCAACGGAAAACTTCGTGAACTTCAAGTTGTTTATCCTATTAAGTGTAAGAAAATGTGAGAGAAGTGTAAGAAAAAACATTCAGCTATAAAAGACCGTAGACAGCGCCGATGCCTTTCTACAGTATTTACACCGGCGACTTTGAAATTTTTACTGCACATGTGGAGCAAAGTAGCTCTGACGCAATGAGCAAAAATGGAAAGGGGAAGGACCGCGACAAGAAAAATAGCCTAGAAAAGGAAACCTTGAATGACGTTCCAAAAAACCGACAAAACAGCACAGCACTTAGTTCGTAGCCGACTTCCTAATGTATTGGGTTGTAACATAAGTTCGTAGAGTTTTTTCACAGAGATTTATTTTAACAAAAAACAATAATTATAATAATAAATTAATCAATGATGTATCCTCCTGTTACTGTTTGCGACCTCCTCCAAACTCTCGACCAATTTGTTGATGCCGTTTCGCCAAAAATCGGCCGGTCTGGTGTCGAAGAAGTTGATGAGCCACTTTCCAAGAACCTCTTCGCCATCGAAGGTAACACTCCTGATTTGGTTTGACAGAGAGCGGAAAGGTGGCAGTCGGTAGGTGCAAGATCC